CGACCTGCCCGATGTGGTATGGATAATAACTCGACCTGCCCAATGTGGTATGGATAATAACTCGACCTGTCCGATGTGGTATGGATAATAACTCGACCTGCCCGATGTGGTATGGATAATAACTCGACCTGCCCGATGTGGTATGGGGATAACTCGACCTGCCCGATGTGGTATGGGGATAACTCGACCTACCCAATGTGGTATGGATAATAACTCGACTTGCCCGATGTGGTATGGATAATAACTCGACATGCCCGATGTGGTATGGATAATAACTCGACCTGCCCGATGTGGCATGGGGATAACTCGACCTGCCCGATGTGGTATGGGGATAACTCGACCTGCCCGATGTGGTATGGAAATAAACTCGACCTTCCCGATGTGGTATGAGAAATAAAATCGATGAATACGATTAAAGGAAATATGAAGGATGAGAATGAGGATGTGAATGATAAAAGTAATATTCATGTTATAGAATATATATTATGGGATATATATACTATATGGTAAATATGAAGGATGACAATGAGGATGTGGATGATCAAAGTAATATTCATGCTATAGGATATATATTATGGGATATATATACTATAGGGTGAATATGAAGGATGAGAAATGAGAATGTCAGAATAAAAGTAATGTGCATGCTATAGGATATATATTATGAGATATATATACTATAGGGTGAATATGAATGATGAAAAGGAAGATGTTAAGAATGAAAGTAATATACATGCTATATGAGATATATTATGGGATATATGTTCTATAGGGTGGATATGAATAATGAGAAGTACAATGTTTTCGAAAGAACGTAATATGCATGCTATAGAATATATATTATGGGATATATATATACTATAGGATGAATATGAATAACGTGGAAGTGAAAGGAGTAAGATATGAATACTTACATTTACGTATTTATGGTTATAAATTATATTAAAGCTTAATCGTATTTGAAATGTGGATTATCATGAAATGTTAGTTTTTGAACTAATGACTTACTCCCTTGTTTTGTGTGTTGTTTATGATAATCCCATTGTAGGTAAATGAAGGATTTGAAGAGGAAGCTCACTTAGGAAGCTTATGTGTTTATTATCTTGATTGTCTTTATCGCTGCTTGACATTGTAGTTGATTTGATAACATTTTGGGATGAATGTAAATCTGAATAGGACAATACTGAGTTATGTAGTTATGGAGGTTATAACTCTTAGAATCTCATACTGGTTGTATGTGGTAATTACTAAATGAATGAATTATGTTTTTCCGCAACATGATTGAATGATAATATAATAGGTTAAAAGATTAGTGTCAAGTAATGATTCATGAAGGTTTTTCAGTAAAATAATGAATGTATGTAAGGAAAGATTTTAAATAAACGAAAAATTTTCAAGGGTAGAATTTGGGTCCTTACAAAATCACTGCTATAAGAAGTGATCATGGGGGAGAGTTTCAAAATACTTCTTTTGAGGAATTTTGTAATGATCTTGGGATTAATCACAACTTTTCTGCTCCTAAAACACCACAACAAAATGGTGTTGTAGAGAGAAAGAATCGGTCTTTGGAAGAACTCGCTAGAACAATGTTGAATGAAACTAACCTCCCAAAGTACTTTTGGGCTGATGCGGTAAGCACCGCTTGCTATGTTTCAAATAGAGTTCTAATAAGACCTATTCTAAAGAAATCTAAGATATATGAAACAATCGAGGGTGAACACTGGATTCTTGCTATGCAAGAAGAACTCAACCAGTTTGAGAGAAACGAAGTTTGGGAACTTATTCCTAGACCTAAAAATAGGCATGTAATAGGAACTCGTTGGGTATTTCGCAATAAATCATATGAAAATAGTATAATTATTAGAAACAAGGCTAGACTAGTAGCCCAAGGATACAACGAAGAGGAAGGTATAGACTTCGATGAAACCTTCGCTCCGGTTGCTAGACTTGAAGCGATTAGACTGCTACTTGCATATGCATGCTATTTGAACTTCCAGCTTTACCAAATGGATTTAAAGAGTGCATTCCTTAACGGGTATATACAAGAGGAAATATTTATAGAACAACCTCCTGGTTTTGAGGACTACAAACATCCCTCTCACGTATACAAGTTAAAGAAAGCCCTCTATGGCTTAAAGCAAGCTCCACGTGCTTGGTATGACCGTCTAACCAACTTTCTAACAGAAAAAGGTTTTACAAAAGGAAAGGTCGATACTACACTATTCATTAAGAAGATAAATCATCATACTTTACTTGTTCAAATTTATGTTGATATTATTTTCGGTTCTACTAATGAAAGTTTGTGTAGTGAATTTGAAAAAATGATGCAAGGAGAATTTGAGATGTATATGATGGGAAAGTTAAATTACTTTCTTGGACTCCAAAATAATCAACTTAGCAATGGAATCTTTGTAAGTCAGTCCAAGTATTGCAAAGACTTGTTGAAAAGATTTGAGATGGATGACTGCAAGGCGATTGCTACTCCTATGGGATCAAGTACATACATCGATGTTGATGACGCTGGAAAATGTATTGAAATATCTAAGTATCGAGGTATGATCGGATCTCTTTTATATCTTACTGCAGTAGACCTGATATTATGTTTAGTGTATATCTTTTTAAAACTTAAACACTGACGCTCTCGATCGGATGAGTCATCCCTCGCTCAGGCGAGAATCTCACAGCCTCCGGAGTGTCATTCTCGCCCAGGCGAGCCAACTCTCGCTCAGGCGAGACTCTCAGGTAAAATCCTGGGAGCAACTCTGATCCTCTCGCTTGGGCGAGGCCCTCTCGCTCAAGCGAGAATCTGGCAGTGAGTCTTAGTTCTCAGGACTATTACCACCTTTTAAGAAAGATAAATTTAGGGTGTTACAAGTATCATCCCAAATTGTGCCCTAGATTAGAAGGCTTCCATTTTTATCTTTACTATAGAGCTCCTTATTTCATGCATAACTCCTTAAAAATATATACTAAACAATGACCATGCAAATTTTGGCAATTGTTCGGGCTATGAGTGATGATATGGTAGTAATGATAAAATTTAATTTGGGTTTTGCTTGTGTAGATGTGGTGGTGGTGGTGATGATAAAACTTAATTTGGTTTTGGCTAATAGTAGATGTGGTGGTGATGATAAAAGTTAAATGGGGTTTAGCTAATATTAGATGTGGTGGTGGTGATTATAAAAGTTAATTTGGGTATGGCTAATAGTAGATGTGGTGTTGGTTATGATACAAGTTAATTTGGGTTTTTGGTTGTGATTGATGATGAGATCATGATAATAATGAGTAAATGAATTTTAATTTATGCATTAAAGATGATATATTTGTATCAAAATTTTATGAGAATAGTGGAGTCAGCTTTTTTGTATCATGATGCACATCTTAGGCAAATAAGTCATTGACAAGGTCTTTTTATGCTTGTATTGTGGCTTGACTAAGGCTTTCCAAGAAAAAGATATAAGGCTCAAAACAAGTGTTTCTCATACTCACCTTTCACCTTTCTTTTTTATCCTACTTTCAGCCGTTTTCTAGCATGACATTCAACAATTAAGAGAATTTTCTAGGTTGAGATAAGAATGAACTGAGACTTAGGCAAAACATTTCTTATAAAATATTCCTTTTGTGATCATTGATATTGCATTTTTGCCCTAACTTTTGTCCGAGATTAATTGAGGATTCTGAGCAGGCTTTTTTTGTTTTTTTTTTTAATAACTAAGAACATTCCTTGTGTTCTTGTCATTCAGCGACGCGATGGATGTGATAGAATGTATTCTTTTCTTTAATAATTGAATGTCAAGGAAAACAGTTGAAAAACTACCCGCTCACGGTTATTGCCATTTTGAGGGTTATTAAAATTATCTATTTTCATGATGTCTAGGCTCAAAGTGGTGACTAGGGATATATTCTTAGTGTTTAGGAATTCCAAAATTCCTTGTGTCATCGGAAAGATCTGCTAGAAGATACTCATCATTTTGGGTCTTATATTTGCATCATCCTCCATTTTATTTTATTTTGAATCAAATATCTCATAGTAATGCATGAATTAATTTTGAGTTATTTTTGTTGTATTTTTTTGGGTTAATATGATTAGTGAGGTTAATATGGTTGGTAGGGTTAGGTATGAGTTGATGAAATTTGCATGATCAATGCATTAATATGTACTTGTTAAAAAGATATGAACATATAAATATTTATTCAAGAAGTATGGATGGATATAAGAGTGGTTGACTTTGACTGGTGTCCTCAAGTGAGAATTTTTTCAAGTTGGTTTCCAATTTAGATGGGGTTGGAGACAATTCAGCGGTCTTAATCACAAACTGAGAACTCTTTATATTTAGTGGGTTTCTTCATCTTCAATCAAGATTGCTTTCAGTCGAGGTCAACAATAGTGTTTTGTGGTTAATGATATTTAATTTGTGTGTTAGGATTGAAGTGGTGATGATGATAATAAATTTTAATCATATGCACTAAATATGAAATATTTCATTAAAAAATCATTTCTTTAGTGGAGTCAAACTTTTTTTGACATGATGCACATCTTTGGAAAATAAGTCTTCGACAAAGTCTTTATAAGCTCTTATCTTGGTTTGTCTAAGGGTTTTCAAGAAAATGATATAAGGCTAAAAAATATGTGTTTACCATACCCACCTTTCGCCTTCATTCTTTATCCTATTTTCAACAGTTTTCTAGCATGACATTCAACTATCAAGTGACTTTTCAAGATTGCCATAAGAGTGACCTAAAATTGTAGGCAAAAATATTTCAAAGAGTGATTCTTTTTGTCATCGGTTTTGCATTTTTCTTTTGCTTGAGATATGAAATATGAATTCTCAAAGGGTCTTTTATATAATTTTTTTTATTCTTTCTTTAAGTTAGGAACACTCTTTATATTCTCTTATCACTTGGTCACAAGAGGATTGTGAAAGATTGTATTTTTTCTTTAATAATTGAATGACAAAGAAAATTGTTGAAAAACTACCCTCCCATGCTATCGGCATGTTGAGGGTTATATAAAAGTAATCACCTTTCATGATGTCTAGGCTCAAATAAGATGATTAGGGATATCTTTTTAGTGTTTGGTAATTACAAAACTGACTTGTGTCATCAGAAAAACCTGCCTAAAGATGTACATCATTTTTTTATATTTGCATCATCCTCCATTTTATTTTGCATGATCATTGCATTAGTATGAACTTGTTAAAAAGATATGCACAAATGAATATTTATTCATGAAATATGGACGAGTGTAGTAGAGGTTGACATTGATTGGGGTCTTCAGGTGAGAGGAAGTTTTCAAATTGGCCTTCAGTTGGGCTGAGTCAGAAGAAGGTGTCTCATCCTGTGTGACTGTTTTAGCTCATTTGGCATCGATCACAAACTCGGACTTCCCCATATATATTGGATTTCTTCATCTTCAATCATGATTGCTTCCCGTCGAGTCCAACAATGGTAATCTTAAAATCAATTAAGTGTCCCTAAGAAAGGGATCATGAGATGTATGTAGAAAAATGATTTTTATATATGCATGATAATTTTTCTTTATTTTTATCGTGTTATATTGATTGGTAGGCAACTTATAACTAAAAATGATGCACGAGATGCAAGTAATGCCGATGACTATGCATTTGATTTATGTTGGGATGTATGAATGACGTGAGAATGCACATTTTTATATACGATGCATGAAAATGCAAGGTGCAACTAAGGAATGCATCTGATTCTTTTAGTGCCTTGAAGACTATGATATATGAGAAGATGCATGTTTTTTTTATGATAATGAATGAGGATATTAATAATAGTTAATGATATAGTGGATTTCAATGCATGAAATGGTAATGCATGAATGATTAAATAATTTTTTGGATGAATGTATGAGAATGCAAGAATGAATGAGTGTAGATATGTCTATTTTTTTAAATGTGCATGAATGCATAAAGGTTTTTTTGAATGTATGAATAAATGAGTAAGGGATGAATGAGAGAATAAATGTTTGAATGATTTATACGCATGAGTGAATGAATGTTTGAATTATATATTTTTATTTTGATGCATGTGTGGATGAACTCTTTTATGATATTTTTTTTTATGAATGTATGCATGAATGAAATGTCAAAAATGCAAAATGCATGCCCCTTAAGGTAATTGACCCTTTCTTGAGGTGGTTTAGCCATTATCACCATAGATGAAGTGTCATAATGAATTGACATTTGTCATAATAAATTGTCAGGCAATCAAATAAGGCCATACTAGGGGCTGAGAAAAACATCAGCAAAAGTCATGGCATATCAGTGACTTTCAAGACTACCACATACTCGACTATAAATACAAGGCATAAAGCAAATGAAAACAGCCTCCTGAATCTAAAAAGTGGCAATCTCAAATAAACAATCTCATTATTCACCATACACACATTCCTAAATCTCCTACTTGGCAGCCCTAAGTACACAATTCATCATACATAGGTAATCAGACCACACTAGGAGAGATACCATATAGCAATCAGAAGTCGTATGAACCACACAAACCAGATTAGATACATTGCTACCATACCACAAGCATCAACGAGGATCAACATAATACCAAAAGGGCTCTAACGTAAAAGGCAAAGGACAAAGGGCACACTCAGGTAAGTTATTCATTCAGGTTATTGAACAGCAAAGCCTTGTGTTTAATACAGCCGAAAATCTGTGTTCTAAATCTCCAGGTGTAGTTCATAAATATCTTTATCATACAAAAACACATATTCAAGTTTATTCAGTTTCAATAGAAACATGTATATCCAGATTTAACCCAAAACAACAGTATACGATTTTAGGACCCTAAATGTAACTCACTCTCGATAAAATTGCTTACATTCAAGGTTGGTTAAGAAACAAAAGTAAGAATGGCCCGTGATCACATAATCCTAGGACAGTGTTGGTTAATTTTGAAATAAACAAATGTTCAAATCAAGTTCATAAACATGCAACTGTTTTAACTACAACAAAAATGGTGTAAAAGGGGATTAGGGTTCCTATACCTCCGTTTTGTGAAGTAACCGTGAAGGAGATGGTCCAATACGTGAGAATCACTGAAAAAACCGAGGCTAAACCGAGATTCGAAACAGACCCTGGACTCGAAATAATCAACTTCGCCTTATCACCGCGACAAATCGCCTTCGTCTTCTCTCTTCCCCCTTCTTCTCACTCCCCTCTCTCAATTCCACCTAAGCCTAAGTGATAGGAAACCTAACCCCCCATCCCACATGTTTTTTTATTTATCTTATTTATTTGTTTTATTCTAATTATTGGTAAAAGTTAATATAATATTTTAACTTCATATTCTTGTAGTTTATTTATAATTTGAATAATGCAGTATTGTCTTGTGTGTTTATGTACCAAACCTTTTACATCAAATCTTAGTAAAATACATCCTAAGAAAATTTATTATTTATTCAAATGATTTCAAAAAAGTATGATAGTCTTTCATCACATCATACCTTAAAATCTAGGATAATTGTTACTTTAGTTGGTCTTAAATTATTATTCCAAAAAAGTGTCATTATTTTCTCACATTTTATTACTTAAAGATTTGATTGTGTGGTTCCAAAAATAGAAAAAAAAATATATAAAAAATATGCTCATTTATAGCTTCATAAAAAAGGATTTTCCTTTAGTGGTTATATATTCCATAAGAAATGATAATTATTATTATTTTTAGAAAAAAAAAACTTAACTTCATAAGAAAATAGTCATACAATTATATTTTTATTATTTTACAACTTTTACAGATGATTACAATTCATTATTATAGTGCAAACATAAATAAAAAAACAAACCTGGCAGAGATATGATATGGTGTGAACAAAAGCAATGCACAAGGTCATGTGTCACGTTATGATAGACTGCGTTCAAACGTCGAGGCTTCCTATTGGAAGGGGCGGGGGAACTTACGGTACAATTGAGCACACGAGATCCAATGCTCAAACAGTAGTCATAATCAAACAGAAGCATTGTTATATGCCCAAAATAAGTGCGATCGTTTAACGTATCTGGCGTAGTACGATATAATGAAATAGTTGTAATACTAAAATGAGAGTTTCTAAACATGCAACCCATTATCCATTAATCAAGTTGAAAACACAAATCTCTCATGTTTGTCACATAAACTTAGATTATATGTGTTTCTCTCATTCCAAACATTGAATTAGAACAAAATACATTAGGCATTTGTCTCAATAATCTTCAATTATAGATGTTCAACATGACCCACTATGGTCTTATTCAAGTTATTATGAGGTTGGGCTTAAAAAACATAAGTATTTAGGAGGGAGGAACTTGTAAATATTTACTTATTTTCTTCAACTCATCATTGATTAGTTTCACTCTGCCATTTATGTCGATAAAATAAATACAACACTTCCAACAAATAAAACATTTCTTCTACTTAGAACTATGCAAGTCTTGATTCCTATTGTACACAAGAATACATAAGAGCAAGATAAAATATTGTCATACAAAAAATAGGAAAATAAGTTTTTATTTTATATATAAATAATAAGAAAACTTTAGGGAATAAACTTTAGGGTTACAATATTACCATAGGTAGACATGATCCTAACAACTTTCCCTATCCACAATTGACTTTCATATCTAGATCTTCAACTTAAACACTGAAATAACAATAATAATATTAATAATGTAACCATGTAGAAAATCAATGTCATCAATAATCTTAATGGTAATAATAATAAATTCTAATAAAAATAATGAATCACTATTTTATTAATAAAAAATAAATGAATTTTCTATTGAAATAAATTTACAATAATAAATGACGATTTTTTAAATATAAAATAATGTTTATTTAATGATTAATCACTTAAATTGAAATAATCAAAAGCATAGCTATGGGTTGTGAAATTATTTCTTTTTCTCAAATCATCTTTAAATAGCCATGATATATCACTTTTATTCGATTTAACACAAAAAAACATTATTTTGATATAAAATAATTATCAATACTAAAAATAACAAATAAAAACCTTTAAAAAATAATAATTATTGACATTAGTAATAATGAAAATAATAGACATTTTTAATTATAAATAATGAATACAAAATAATATTCCAACTGTTACGTTAAGCTGTTCCTAAAAATAAATAATCAAACTCAATTGGTAATATTTTTTACCTAAATTTTTTTTATTGTTCATACTAAATAATTGTTTGCCATAATTATGATGATATGTTGTTAAGCATGGATGGTCATGTTGTTAATTCAAAATTGTGATATAATGTTATATTGATTAAATAATTAATATACTAAATAAATTTCCAATTATAATTTTGAAGTAATGACTTTGTTTTAAAGTTTATTTTAATAAATGTAATTGTTTTTAATCGAAAAAGTAAATTATGTTTTAATTATGTTATGTACCTCTTTATTATTGTTTCTCATTTTCATTGGCTAAAATAACTTATAGTTTATAGAAAAGAGAGACACAATTGCATAAGTTGTTTGTAATTATTTTCAATATATTGTGAATTATTGGGTACTTGTGGATACGCTGAGTATTCAAAAACACGCGAGTGGCAAACCAACGAGTATCCAAGCATGTTTTGGTCTAAGAAAAACTGAATGTGGTAGGTTCGGGTAGTGCACTACCCGAACCCATCGAGGTTTCAATATTTCTCTCAAAAATGATACACGGCTTATGTACTTCCTAGTAGAAAATATATATGAGTTTCAAAGTTTTCAATCATGACCTCAACACTCAACATGTTAATTGATGAATACCCCCTTGCTATCCTACCCATTAGATTTTTTGAATTTTTGGGTACTTGTGAATGTGTAGGGTACCCAAAGACTCACATGTAATAGACTTAACAAGTATTTAAGCGAGTCTAGGAGAGGTATAAGTTGGAAAACAAATGGTCGAAGTGAGTCACTGCCGGAACACATCTAAGCCATTTGTTTGAATACTCCTCTCAAGATTGATGAATGAAAAGTGGTACAAGGAAAATAATATGGATCACCAATACCTATTTTCTATGTTTGTATGACTAAAAGTTATTGTATTTAATCGAAACTTAAGTTGTTTTTAAATTATGTTTTCTAATTTTTTAATTTTATCATTTTATTGTCTAAAATAACATGTAGGATTTTAGAAAAAAGTGACATAATTGTTTAAATTGTTAAATATTTTTAGTATTTTATAAAAATTATGTGTACTACCTTGTGTAACACCCCAAATTTATCCTCTTGAAATTAGGTAACAGTTTTGAAGAATGGGGCATACTGCCAGATTCTCGCTTGAGCGAGAGAATCTCGCCCAAGCGAGAGGATCAGTGTTTTGAATTTGGAAATTTTGGGAGTCTCGCCCAAGCGAGGAATGGGTCGATTGAGCGAGAAAAAGTCTAGGCAGGTTGTGAGATTCTCGCTTGAGCGAGAGAATCTCGCCCAGGCGAGAGAGCCCGTGTCTGGAAACTTAAAATATTGTGGGCTTCTCGCCCAAGCGAGTTATTCTCGCCCGGGCGAGAGTGCCCAGCTATAAAAGAAAAGAAAGGGTTTCACAAACCCTAATCTTCATTTTCTTTTCTCCCCTTTCACTCCCAACAGCGGCTCCCCATAGATTCTGAGTCATTCCTCCTCTAAACCTCAAAAACACATCAAAACCTATTCCTCTTGCTTCTTAATGGAACATTGGAGAGCTTTGGAGAGGAAAAAATAACAATGGAGGTTGAAGGAGATGGAGGGAGATGGAGCTCTTTGCGGATCCATGGAGCTTATGTGACCTAAGGTGAGGGAGAAGACCATTGTGGTCTTAGAGTATTTCATTAGAGTCATCATCTCCGATTCCCCTCAAGAATCGGAGCACGTTAACGGATAGAAACTCTCTTGGGTGTTTGTGGTCCATGTGAGAGTCTTTATTCTACATGAGTATGTATTATCCATAAAAGTAGAGATATATGTGCGATAAAAACTGTTTATTTAAGTAAAACGCAATATTCTCATTTATGGTAATACATCGTCATGAAAGATGGTTCTAACGTTAATGTGTTATATGATGAAGAATATGTTGTGTGTGGTTTGTTTATGATAATGGTGTGTTATGAATGGTTGATTTGTTATAAACATATATGAGTGTGTTTGTAACAATGAATGCGTGATGAATTATTAATGTGTTAAAATGAGATGGGTATGTTTGTAATAAGAATTGTTTGATGAGTGGTGGATTTGTAAAAGTGGAGATGAGTATGTTTATCAAAGTGAATATGTTGTGAGTCGTTTATTGTTATAAACTTATGCGAGTGTATTTGTAACAATGATTGTGTGATGAGTGGTTGATTTGTTAAAGTGGCGATGAATATGTTTATGGAAATAAAACTCGGGAAATGTAATGGTGGAGTGTCAATGGAAATAAAACTCGGGAAATGTAATGGTGGAGTGTCAATGGAAATAAAACTCGAGAATTGTATTGGTGGAGTGCCAATGGAAATAAAACTCGGGAAATGTATTGGTGGAGTGCCAATGAAAATAAAACTCGGGAAATCTATTGGTGGAGTGCCAATGGAAATAAAACTCGGGAAATGTATTGGTGGAGTGTCAATGGAAATTACTATGAGCTACCGATGTGGTAGAGGATTATCTTTGTAGGGAGATATGTCGGATGTGGTCAAAGGGCGTATATCATTAATGAGAAATGAGTATGTTGGAAATGAAATAAATACGCATGCTATAGAATATATATTATGGAATATATATACTATAGGATGAATATGAATGATGAAAAGAAAGAGTATGTTTGGATGTAAGAAATATGCATACTATAGAACATATATATTAAGGGATATATGTGTACTATAAGGTGAACACAGATAATGTGTGATGAATAAATATGCACACTATATAACATATATATTATGAGATATATGTGTACTATAGAGTGCATATGGATAATTATGAGATAAATATATATGCACACTATTGAACATATATAGTATGGGATATATGTGTTCTATAGGGTGAATATGGATAATATGTGTTGATTAGTATATGTTTATCATGATTGATGTATGTGTGTCATTTTAATACTTTAATGTTATTACTCTATGTAAATTCACGCTACGGTCGCCGTAGTTGGTTCTTACTCCCTCTGTCTTTCCTTGTATGTGTTGTATATTTGAGTTCAGGTTGTAGAGGTAGCGCATTGGACGCTTGCGGAGAAGAGTACATGATAGAGTATTTTATGTAATTGACATGTTATATGAAAAACGTTTGTTGTAACACCCCAAATTTTAA